AAACCAACAACCTCATCTCTGACATTCAATGTGGTTTCCGGAGAAATCGGAGTACCATCGATCATTTGGTACGGTTAGAGTCTTTCATCAAAAGTTCTATGCTAAATAAACAACATACTGTATCGATTTTTTTCGATCTTGAAAAGGCACATGATACGATATGCCATTTTGAAAGATCTCCATGATTTTTAAGAAAGTAAGAAAGTTTATGGATAACAACTTCTTTATTATATATGATGCGACGTTTCGGTATGGATTCTTATACCGTTGTCAAGCAAGAGTGATGCCATGATTTTGGTTTGATGTCGTTTACCCCTTTTTATATCACAATTTTTAGAAGACAGACAATTTCAAGTCCGAGTGGGAACTACCCTGTCTGAACATTACAGTCAGGAGCAGGGTGTCCCACAAGGCAGTATTTTGTCTGTCACATTGTTTAGTGTTAAGATCAACAGTTTATCACAGGTTTTAAATGATTCAATTGATGGATCTCTTTTTGTGGACGATTTTAATATTTCTTGTGGTGGGAAAAATATGCATACTATTGAACGGCAACTGCAGTTGTGTTTAAATAAAATAGATAAATGGTGGCTTGAAAACGGTTTTAAATTTTCTAAATCCAAAACTAATTGTATACAATTTTGTAGAAAATATAAACCGCATAAAGACCCTGAACTGTTTCTAAATGGCACTCCCATCAAAGTTGTAAAGGGGGCCAAGTTCTTGGGTTTAATTTTTGACTCCCTTGAATCCCTTAAAACTAAATGGCTGAAGGCACTTGACTTGTTGAAAGTGGTTTCCAATTGTAAGTGGGGAGGTGATCAAGCTACCCTCCTGCAACTTTATCGATCATTGTCCCGTTCAAAACTTGATTACGGCTCCATCGTATATGGCGGAGCCTGCAAAAGCAACCTAAAACTTTTAGATTCTGTTCACCACCAAGGTCTAAGACTTTGTCTTGGCTCCTTTCGAACTTCACCTGTCGACAGCCTCTACGTCGAGGCTGATGAGCCATCTCTCAACCAACGCCGTATAAAATTAACTTTACAGTATATAACAAAACTATATTCCAACGAGTCAAACCCTGCATATAACTGTGTCTTCAATCCCCTGTATGAGGATCTGTATAACAAGAAGTCTTCTCTTGTTCCGCCTCTTGGTATAAGAGTGAAACCTTGCCTTTCTGCTGCTGGCATTGAGCTAAACAATATAGCTCCTTCCCGTCTTCATTCTTCTCCCCCGTGGCAATTGGTGAGGCCACAAGTTGACCTCACACTAACAGCATTTAAAACATCAGAAACTAATGAATTACTATATAAACAAGAATTTAATCAATTAAAAAGTAAATACAATACATATAGATCCTTATTCACAGGGGCGGTGGGGTAGCCTAGTGGTTAAAGCGTTGGCTCGTCACGCCGAAGACCCGGGTTCGATTCCCCACATGGGCACAATGTGTTAAGCCCATTTCTGGTGTCCCCCGCCTTGATGTTGTTGGAATATTGCTAAAAGCGGCGTAAAACTAAACTCAGTCAGTCAGTCAGCCTTATTCACAGATGGATCCAAGGATGGTGGTGCAGTGGCTTGTGCAACTGTCATTGGGTCCAAAACAATATCTTCCAGATAACCCAATGACAGTTCAATTTTCACAGCCGAAGCAAACGCAATTTTAACAGCTCTTAAATATATAAATACACGCACTAAATATAAACAATATATCATATTTTCAGATTCTCTTTCTTGCCTTCAGGCTATAAAAAATCTTTCGTGTAAACATCAACTTTTAATCGAAATAATTGAGTTATATAATGATCTTGCTACTGGCCAATACGACATCGTCTTTTGTTGGTTACCCAGCCACGTTGGAATCTCTGGTAACATAATGGCTGACTTTGCTGCTAAAGCAGCACTCAACAAATCTGTGACACCACTTCTTATTCCATACTCTGATAACAAAGCTAGCATTAGAACTTACATCCGTTATCTGATGCAAAAGAAGTGGGACACCCAAGTAGGTATTAATAAATTACATGAAATAAAACCCTATATTGGTTACACCTACTTGGGTTGTCAGTCCAGATTTGAAGAGGTCATCATGCGACGATGTCGCATTGGCCATACAAGGTATACTCATGAATACCTGTTAAAAGGTGAGGATCCTCCGTTTTGTATCCCTTGTGATAAAAGAATCACAGTCAAGCATGTCTTGCTTGACTGTATTGATTTTGCCATCACAAGGGATAAATATTTTAATGTAAAAACAGTGAAGGATCTTTTTAGTGTTAATTATCATTTAATCATTGAATTCTTAAAAGAAATAGAATTGCTAGAGAAATGTTGCTAAATAGTTTGTAAATAGATATGTATTTTATTATTGGTAGTTTAGATGAGTAACTTAGATTATTAGTGGATGTACCCTCAAAGGGGGTTAAAGTACTGTGATATTATTGTGTTCCTGAGAGGGTACGTAAGTCCCAAAACTTTCAAAGTAAAATGTTAATTTACCACATATTAATCGTAGTATTTTTGTTCTTTTAACTGCCGGCTAAATTTTCCTTAAATCGCCAGTGGCTGAAGGGATGATGTAAATCCAGCTAGGGTCCATGCAGGTAGCAAAGGTACTGTAAGTCCCCATGGTCCCTAGTATGGTGAACTACCTCCAGTTGCTGGTGATATATAGCCTCTTTTTATACTGTGTTGTCCTCTATAGTTAAAATGTTTTAGATTTAATTACTAGTTTTACATTTATATCTGTGATAATCTAGTTGTTTTACTGTCCTTCGTTGACAAGATTTTATACTCTGTCTTTAATTATTGTTAATATATATGTTGTTTTAGTCATGATATGGCTGAACTATTGCCAAAGTGACTTTAAATTTTAACTCACTCACTCACTCATCAATATGTTTTGGTTTTTCTCCGAAGGTCATCCGGGGCGGTGGGGTAGCCTAGTGGTTAAAGCGTTGGCTCGTCACGCCGAAGACCCGGGTTCGATTCCCTACATGGGTAAAATGTGTGAAGCCCATTTCTGGTGTCCCCCGCCGTAATATTGCTGGAATATTGCTAAAAGCGGCGTAAAACTAGACTCACTCATCCGACAAAGAATTGTCCACATGAAACTGTGAAAACTCATATTCATTTTATCTGAAGATGTTAATTGGCATTTCCGATTAATTTTATCGTACGGACACTGAGTAATTAAATTCGTTATTGAATCTGAGGGATTAAATTGCGCTTCAATAATCTCTAATCATTTGAGGTCTATTAATACAGACAGGTTCAAATTACAAAAAACGAACTCATTATGCTAAAATTGTTTATCTCAATCATTTGTGAAGTGAAGTCAGCTGATTGTTTTGTTTGATTGTTGAACGCTACATCCAGGAATATTCCAGCTGCATGACGGTATCTTGTAAATAGTAGAGTCTCGTGTAACCAGATAATCCAGTGATCAACATCGTGAGTATCGATCTACTTCATTTTCATACAATATGATTCAACCAGGCATGACCACACAATGTCGTTCGTCCCTCTAACCCAGATCTTCACGGGTAGTGAATCCAGGACCACGAATACTTGACAAGTGTCTTTGGAGTCGTTTGGGTCTCGTATAGAAATGCACTAATACATAGTACACACATGACGAAGAAAATAACGAGACAATTTATCTGACAACAAATACCAGGGATGCCACGATGCATCGATACATCAATACTTTTTCTAAGACGATACAATTATCGTTACATTCCAAACTGTATCGAGTTTTAGTTTTGAAAGTATCGGTTTAAATATGTTTATGTTTCGCTTTGCAATTGTATCATTTTTTTTTATGTCGTCAGAGTTATAAATGATTATTTTTCATGCACAAAGATGGGAAATTAGAACTTTTTTAGTCTCTGAGAATACAAAATGTCGATCTTTTCATGCACACTATAAAATATGTAGTTCAATGTTCAAAATATGTAACTAAATATACGCAATAATGGAGTGGAAATAGGTATCGTGATACGTATCGAATCGTGACATGGGTATCGTGATACGTATCGATTCATGAAACTTATGTATCGTGACATCCCTAGCAAATACATAAAATAAATCTTGAGGAAATTTTACTCAAATCTACCTGTCAAATTATAATAGCAACTCGTTTGAAAAACACTAGATCCGCATCCTTATGCACATGGGCGTGTCACGCTTAGAAACAGCGTTAGAAAGACATATAGGTATATAGACCCTACCCTAGTACTATATAAAAGGAAAGGGATGTAACGACGGAACCACCCCCTCCTCAATCAAAGTTAGATTTCACCACGTAAACTATCTTTAAGGCCCCGTCGAGGCCTACGTATCGAAAGCGAGATGATTTCCCTACAAAATTAGCTATAAATGGTCACAATCAGATCATTATTTCAAAAGTTATACGCCACGACTCACCGAAAACAGCTACCTCCACAATTCCCAGCCAAAATCATGGATCACCCAAGACAGCGAAAACTCACCTTATAAAAGTGTTTATCAATTCCAGCCACGTTGACAGCACCAATGTAGGGATAGATTCGATCGGCAGCGACATTCCACGGGTCTAAAAACTTATTGCAACATCTACAAAACATCTCCTCGAGAGTAAGCAGGCATTTTCTCCAAAACCATCGGCAATCATTCCCTATATAGTACTAGGGTGGGGTCTATATACCTATATGTCTCTCTAACGCTGTTTCTAAGCGTGACACGCCCCTGTGTCCTTATGATCATAAATGATCCTACAGAACTGACACAGAAACACATCTACAGTTCCCTATGCCCCAAGGCAAAACCTATTAAAAAACAAATAAATTACCGGTGTTTAACATTATATGTTACATGCTCGTCATACACTAATTGGTATCTTTCACTCCCTGCATAAAACAATGTATGTTACTTGCAAGTCATAAAATAAGATTGTCCCATTGTGCTATTGGTAACCGCTAACGGGATGCTTCATATAAACCTACAAGCTGCACTTATTTCACTGGACAGCCCCGAGAAACAAGAACGTAATACACGTGACGTTTTCTTTTAAGTTTTGCTATCATGGCTGCTGTTTCCCCGTCCTTGTTCCTGGCGTTAATGTCTACCAGGTTCTGTGAGAGGATATGCTTCACCATTTCCACACGTCCACCTAATGAGGCCAGATGAAGTATGTTATAACCGTTGTCATCAACTAGGCGAGTAAGACCACCTTTCCACATAAGCTGGTCAAATACTGTGATACGTCCAGCATTCGCTGCCAGCATCAGTGGTGTTCTTCCGAACCTTCCTCTACTGTTAACGTCAACCGTGTCTTTGGATACGATATACTTAACAATCTTTGCATGTCCACTAGTTGAGGCATAATGGAGTACGTTGTTATGGTGATCGTCCACGTGTGATACGTTAGCTCCCATACACACGAGTAATTCAACAACGTCTCCGTGTCCAGTCATTGTAGCTATCATCAAGGGGGTGACCCTGCCTCTTGCTCTTCCGTTAATATCAACACTGCCTTGTGAGAGCAGATACTTCACCATACTCACATGTCCGCCCGTGCAGGCCCAGTGCAGGACGTTGCGGCCATAGTTATCCACTTGTGACACATTTCCTCCCATACACAAGAGGAAGTCAACAACGTCTATTTGTCCCCTCTGAGCTGCCTGCATAACGGGGGGGGATGATGCATGTTTTTAATATCAATACCGTACTGTGGGAGTACACACCTCACAATACCCGCATGTCCACCCTTGTATGCCCAGTGAAGGATGTTCTTACCATCATTATCCACTTGTGCTATGTCAGCCCCTTTTCTGCTGAGAAAGAATAATATTTTGCAATGTCCTTCCTTTGCTGCCACCATGAGTGGTGTCCTTCCATGCTTCTCGTCTCTGCTGTTGATGTCGACCAAACCCTGGGAGAGGATGTGTCTCACTCGGTCCAAGTAGCCCTTCCTGCAGGCATCGTGAAGTGGGCTGTTAGTAAATGAGTCTTGCTTGTCAACTTCATGGTGGTTCCGTTTCACACCTATGAATGTGTATATGATTATGTTACAAATGGTTAGCATCATTCATTGCAGTATATATTTAATAGAATAAAGATTTGTGCTGTGGCGGTACGCACCCCTTCTCTGGATCCGCCTATGGTGTGTGGGGCCGTCTCTTTTGAACCGATTCTGGAAGCTAAACTATGGTATTGAGGCTTACTTCTTAAAACGTGAGCTAAATACTCATTAACGTTCATTTGTAATTGGACGTTCTAATGTAAAGTCTGATTTTACTTTACTTTGTTTTGTGTTAGAAGCCCACTGTGATGGTCACTGATGGTATTTTTTTTTAAATTGAACACTGTAGTTTTCTATTTTTACTTACCAAAAATCGACGCGTGAAAATCTTAAACATTTATGGATTTATAATGGCAACTGATGTATTTATTGATGATTATCTTGTATAAGTGGATCTTGTATATACGCATTACTTAAGCACCACCTGGATCCAAGAGCAGTCTAGCTGGGCAATCATACCCTCCCAGCAGGCACATCAACGTTGTTTCAACGTTGAGAATAGGTTGATCCTCAACGTTGAAAATAGATTGAAAATAGGTTGTATATGAAAGTTTTTTTGACGTAGATATCCGACGTGGAATCAACGTTGAAGTTTGACCGATTATCAACGTTGAGAATAGGTTGATCCTCAACGTTGAAAATAGATTGAAAATAGGTTGTATATGAAAGTTGTTTTGACGTAGATATCCGACGTGGAATCAATGTTGAAGTCTGACATATTATTAACGTTGAAAATGGGTTGTTCCGTGGTTGTGTCTGGGAGGTATTACGCTTTCCTGTAAATAGACTCGCATTTCATCTTTAAACTACAATAAAGTAGCACCAAACTCCTGCATCCAGCTAAAATACCCAAAAAGCTACCTGCAATAAACAGTGTTCAAACAGAAAATTGCAGTAAAAATATTTACCTGATAAAATACTTGGTTACAATTCCACATTCAATATAATGTTCATTTAAGTTTTATGTCAGTTGGACGTATAATTCCAGTAAGAAGAAAAGAGTATTCCAAATTAAGAAAAACTATTTACTGTTGTATTGTTACCTTGAAAAGGTGAAAATTGTCCCGAGAAGACATTTTGTCTGAATTTCAGCTCTTAGACAGACCCTGAATAAACACAATGCAATTACTTTCACCATGAAAGGGATCCAAGATGACCAGGAACTATACCTGGAGACAGCACATAAAACAAGTCACTTTTCATGAAATCTTTATGAACACACGCGCACACAGAAAACGTGGTTTAATGCATAATGTAAAACATCACACATGACATAGTCTGTAGGTGATCTCTGTTGTGCTAATAACACAATATCATCTGCATATAGCATCAAAGTGACATTTACGCCACCAATTTTAATACCACAGTTCAGATTTTTCAACACAATTACAACTCCAAAAACACAATTATCAGCTCCTCTTCTTTCTGCCACTCCCTGCCTGGCGGTCAGGTGGATACTTCAGAAACGTTTCTAACTCTTTCTTGAAATTTGCTTCGGATGCATTCCCATCTCATTCCCTTGAGATAGGACACATTCTGAAATTTTATATTTAAATACATGAATAAGTTATATGGAAGATATATTGTCTTAAATGATTCAAGTATTTGTTTAATCAATCACTTGAAAGGTTCATTTCACTGCTGTAACTTGGCATGTGAACATATGAACAGCATCAATACAAAATATGATGAAAAGTGTAAACAATTTATATTTTTAACCGAAGGAATGGAAGTTTTCTTAAACATTTTCAAAGAAAATCCTCATTTGCAAGTTGATTATTTAATTAGACTATGAATTACCGGTAGGATGAATTAGACGATGCTTTACTGTCATATATTATTTGCTATGGTCATGATGAAAATGCTGCACTTGGTAATTAACTTACCAGAGATGATTGAATACAACCTTGTATTCTTAAAAGAAAACTTGCCGTTTTGCCCATCAACATTCATTCTTGACATCAAATTGTTTGACATTGTCCTGCAAAACAATGGAAGATTGTTGTTATTCTGTCAGATTTAGTTTTCTTTAGAGATTCTCGGAAATGATTATTTCAAATTAATAGGAGTTGAACTGATGTAGCAATTTTGCTACCAGGAGTCATAATTTGTAACAAAAGCAATTTTACATTAAATGATAAGAAAACAAAATGGGTGGTGGTTCACAGGTCAAAGAACAAGTCTATTGTGGGAGGTCTCCCAACACCATTTGTTCCCAAACACAAGGAAGTATGGATCATGGAGTTCTGAAAACAATAATGAGCTCTCATAAGTATACAATATATTCTCAAGTATCTACTCTCTCTCTCTTTGTCATTTGTACACTCATAAAACTCAGATAAATAACTTTTTATAATTCATAAATGTTTACACTTAATCTCTTATAGGAACGCTTAGAAAATCTCTCATATAATGAATTATGTGTGCGTATTATCTGCGACGTCATAACTATGCTTCTCTGAATCATGAACAATAAAATAATGAGATTAAACTCTACATTGCCAGAAATAATCTATCATACCATGAATAATAAGACATTGAATAACATCTCTTACAACTCCAATCTACACTCAAAAAGACTTAAATGTACTCGTAAACAAACATCGCTGGCTAACGCAAATTCTTGGAAACAGTGCATCTCTGACACTCAATTCCAAGAAATGGAAGTCCTACTGTATTTGACCAAAGGGGTGACAGGTGGCCAAAACATATTGAAATGTAGGTCATTCACTGAAAATAACTCTGATTTAAAACACTACAAATATACACCTTCTCTCTAATATACTCGATAGATGATCTTAACGGGGGAACATGTACATAAAATGCTGATATCTAACAACACCTGTACTTTAAATAATGGACTCTTCCAAATCTCGGTATGTTTCACTGCACACATATTAGATTGCAAATAATGAAAAACCTACCCTTAGACAATAATAAAAAACATCATATTCAAATTCTACAGCTGACCAAATACCTGAAGAGTGTGTTTCCCAGCAATAAACATCTCTATATATATCTATAAATGTATGACTTCTGTCCTCTCGCGTGCTATCTTGCATCCAGCTGTTTACGGCGAAAAACAATATGGCGCCAAGCAAGGGAGTGCTCATTAAACTAAACATCTCCGGGAGAAATCATTGTCAATTTTTTCTTTTAAATGATCAACCTTAATATATAAATGAAAACAAAGACCAACTATTTTCACCAAAAAGACCAAACATTATCACAAATATTCAAAACAGGTGGTAATGAAAGAGCATTATCATCTTTCTCTTAAACTTTGTGGTGGATATACTGGAAACAAGTGAAATGTTAAAACGCGTTACCTTAGCCTTGCTCCTTTTATGTGATCCACAAAATTGCTGCCACCCAGTGTTCGAAGATGAGATTTCTGCAAATTCCATTAAAATAATCTTATTTCATAATTAAATGTTCCTTACATTAAAATTACTTCTTTTGTATGTAAGATTGTAACCTTTAAGAGACATGAATTATCATATCCCATCCAAACAAGTGTAAGAATGAAAGTCTGTGGGTGCAGTTTTGTTAATTGTCCCATCAAAGAATCATTAGTGAAGTTACACTTTATGTAAATAAATAAAAGTTCAAATAAATTATATACAATTTCATCCTTAACAAAGACTTTCACAAGACATTTTAAAGTGAAAATTTTCGTTGCATTTCCTTACGCCATTCTCCACCACCCCTCCCCAATAATATACATATGTTAAAAGGGGTTCAGGGCGTGCTCAATGCATCATTTACTGATAGATCTATTCAAACGAACAAATGTTCATAATAATGGGATGCAATATAAAATGTTGATTAAACCTATCCGATTTTGTATAGCTGCCCTTAGGGACCGTTCATAATGTATGGCTTTGGGGTGATGTTGATTTTTATGTACAATGTGAATTACACCACCCCCCCCCTAAAAGTGTATGAGTATGTACAGAATAAGAGACGGCCCACCCTGCATGTCATGTACATTATCTATGACGCCCTCTCCCTTCCCATAATTTCTAAACATAGTGCGTGTGTACAAAAATGCTGACCCCTTAGCTCCCTGAACAAAATGGGTGACACCCCACCCCACCCCACCCCACCCTCCAACCCTTACAATCAACACCCCACACCCGCAGCCATATATTTAATTATGAACGGTTCCTTATATTGATGTACTTCATTGATTATTTGAAAATGTATATTTGCAAAATTCAAATCAGGTGATGGGTACGAAAGGAAATCTTATTCGATTACATAATAAAATGCCAAATATATGCATGCAAATATATTGAAAAATAACAAAACAAACTTTTGAGAAACATGTACTGTGACATACCGGTAACCTTGTGAGATAAAACATGAGCCCTAATTCGGAGTTTCTTGCTACTGCTAGATTTAAACGGCATTCCTACGTTTTCATTATACATGAAGGACATACTTACCAAATAAACACCAGCATGCCGTGAAGATGGTGAAAATAGAACGATATTGCGTTGAACTTCGCCAAGGTGAACTGACAACGATCAGCTGCCTTTGCGCGCGCGATAATTGTGCGCATGTCCGGATATGGCCAAACGAGGCGATCGAAAGGTCAAC